ATTTTTTTTTTCTGTAAAAAATTTATGTCAGTAATTATCGTAAAATCTGATTCCGTCTCTAATTTCGTCTTTAGTTTTGACAGAAATTTTTTTTACGTATGATAAAAAATTTCATCACATTTTTTTGATGAAATATTTTTCGTCGATAAATTATGTCGGTATTTGAGACTTTTCTAATAATGTCACATTTAAAAATGATTCACATTTATTTAGTTTTCACATTTTAATGGTAAGGGTAGATAAGTAATTTTTAATATTTTTCCACTCAAACTTTAATTTTAAGAAGAATGAGGGGTTTGGAGGGTTTAGTAAAAATCTTCAATTTCTTCCTCTTTTTTTTTTTTTTTATCTCACAAACAAGGGAGAGACTTAATAAAACCCTCCATTTCCTTTTCTTCCCCTCTTAAAACCAACTCCCAAACAAAGCCTAAGTGGGAAGAGTATAGCTTGGTCCCCTCAACTCAAATACATTTCAAAATTGAGCACACTGATGTCCCACTTTCCTACTATACTGGAATTCTTGGTATGTATTCAACATTTTCAATTTATATTGATTCTTAGTGAAGGATGCACTTTGTTAGTATATATGCCTTTTCCAATTTTTTTTCTCTTGTTTAGTGGTGGTTCTATGGCGGGAATTTATCCTTTATTCAGTAAAATATATGGCTGAACAGCTTTGTTTTGGAGGAGAACCAACATTAAATGACGTTTACACTCATTAAGAACCAATAGCTCACTACTTTTGTCTATCTGTTTAAAGGCACAATTCAGTGATAAACTCCTCTCAGTTTATATAAATATATTTTACTATTTTATGTTTTATTTACAGAGTATTCATTCTGCTTCAGCAGAATCAATCTAAGCAAGCTTGCAAAAAAGCCTATGAATGTTTTTGGCTTTTTTTTTTTCTGTCATTTTGTTGTGCCTTTTGACCAAAGTTATTATTTTCTTCTATGATCATAAGTATGCCAGGAATGACTGCTTATGCTGGATTCTTTGAAGTAGGCTCTCCAAAGAAAGGAGAGAATGTTTTTGTTTCAGCTGCCTCTGGTGTTGTTGGTCAACTTGTTGGTCAATTTGCTAAATTGATTGGTTGTTATGTTTTTGGAAGTGCTGGAACTAAAGAGAAGGTATTTGTCTAATTATTGTTGCTATATATGTCTGCATAAATGATAAATTAGCATAAACTATTTGTTATTTATCTTGCCATTCAATGTATTACTATTTTGAATTGGCCTAATTATATTACAGAAATAGTTCCACTAATTTCCAAGCTTAGACAACATTTTCTATAAATTATAAATCTCTTGTGATTGAGAACTTTGAGACATGTTGCATACTTTTGGGATTTTCCAAGATGTCAAATTAAAATACATGAAGTTTTTTTAATCGAAGGAGTTTATGGTTACGTACGTCAAATATGAAAAGTTGCACTCTGTAATGTTTTATATACTTCAAAAAAATGGTATCGATACATAGTTTGATTCTCAAGTTAGTTTGCGGATTTATCGTACGATGTATCCAACCCTCGAGGGCAAGTCTTGGAGCAGTAGTAAGGTTGTTTATTTGTGACCGGAAGATTACCCATTCGAGTCTAGAAAATAACCTATTTGCAAAAATGCAAGAGTGATATTGTATATAATTGACCTTTGCCCCTATCCTCACAATGTTAGGGAGCCTTTGTGCATTGGGTTTAGCTTTTTGTGTATCCAACCCGTGTTTCCTCCTCTTTTCCCCATTGTTGTAAAGAAGTCATATTAATTCATTCAGTTATATTTGCTCACCAACAAAAATACTTAGTCCTCCTTTCCTTTCTATGTATGTGTTTTACAACCAGGTGAATCTTTTGAAGGATAAATTAGGATTTGATGAAGCTTTTAACTACAAAGAAGAGCCATACCTCAATGCAACATTGAAAAGGTCAGTATTTAACAGTTTTGTGAAAAAAGAAATTTTAATCTAATTTGTGTGTTGCTCGAGTTACTGCAACTAGTAACACAATTCTCCTTAGTGATTAATGAATATCAATTTATAAATCAGGTACTTTCCAGAAGGCATTGACATTTACTTTGAGAATGTTGGGGGTAAAACACTTGATGCTGTACTCTTGAATATGAGAGTCCATGGCCGCATACCCGCTTGTGGAATGATCTCACAATATAATCTTGCTCAACTTGAAGGTGTAACAAATTTGGCAAATCTTATATATAAGGGGGTTCTTATGCAAGGTTTTAATGCTTTTGATTTCTATCACTTATATCCCAAATTCGTGGAGTTTATAATGCCTCATATAAGAGAAGGGAAGGTTGTGTATGTTGAAGACATAGCTGAGGGCCTTGAAAATGGTCCTGCAGCCTTGGTTGGCCTCTATAGTGGTCGCAATCTTGGTAAACAAGTGGTCTATGTTGCAAGCTTATAAAATTATATTCTTTTGCTATACCTTGGTAATTTCAAAGTTTTTCTTCTGATTTTCTTTTGGATATTATTGAGCCATCTTTATATGGTGTATGCAGTCATCTTCCTTCACTATGTTGATTTTAATTACTTTTTGAGTGACTTTTTATGATTATTACAACCTTTTAAATGTTGTAGAGACATCTCATGTGGGGCTTACTTTTTTCTTTTTCATAAAAATATAACTTCAGAGGTGGGTTCCACTGAGATGTCTCTACAACATGACATAAACTACCTCCTATAAATATTCATAAATCCCTTAATATATTCAATTTTGTTAGTTCTAATTTTCATTCTTTTATAATGAAGATAGGAATGATAATTTTTTTTTTCTAGTATTTGTTTTTGTTCTTGGTATGACGGGAGTGAGTCTCAAGCCCTGATAAAGACTTAATGTTATTCCTTTGTGATTGAAAAGTCTCGAGTTTAAATTCTGAAATTTTCGTATAATAAGGGTAAAATTGCGTACTAGAGTTTTTCACCTCTATTTTCATTTATTTACTTTTTGATACAAAAAATGCATAGAAAAAGTTGCTAAACTAATATTATTAAGATCGAAATCCTTTGTAGGAGTGGAGAGATAAAGCTCCGACAATCTTAAAATATATCGTTTAGCTCACTATAAAAAATGTTTATTAAAAAAAGCATAATAATCTTTTCTTTAGGATTAAAGAAATCAAAATCTTCACTTTTCCTTGCGCTCTAAAATATATTGTTTTGAGGTTGAGAAGAATTAATGAAAGATATTTTGATAAAATATACATAATAAATAAATAAATACATTTTTTAAAATATCTTTTAATTAATTATCTCAATCCTACTTACCAAAAAGAAAAAAAAATCTCAATTTTCAAAATGATATAATTTTGGGATTACTAAAGATAATTTTATCGGGGTAGGATATACTTATCACCAAAAAAATTTACTACTCTTACAACTAATTTAATCACCGTTGATTTCCTTCAATCTAACGGTTATAATTTATTGTGCACTAATAATTGATTAATAAATGTGATATAACAAATATTATTAATTTTCAATAGATTATAATCGTTAGTTTGACGAAAATCAACGGTGATTAAATTAATTGTAAGAGTGGTAATCTTTTTTGGTGGTAAGTGGATCCATTCCCAATTTTATCTCCTAGAGAAATATTTCTCCGTAAATATATACACTTATTTCATCAACAATAATATAACTAATTTAATAATGTTACACATCTGTAGATTCTGTACAATTATAATTATGTAAGTAATGGTGAACTAATATATATAAACATGCATCTTCCATGTGCATCTCATGATATAATTTTGGTAAAATATTTGAATTTTAAATTAATCTGATGAAATATTTCTTTTTTTCATTCCTATGGACAAAAGACCCTAATTTATCTTACAATTAGTGAAATTATTGCTTCATTATTTTTAATATTTTTAAATCACTTTTCATCAATTATTTGGTTAAATTACAAATAAAGACCAAGCAAAATACCAAATCGAATAACCTTTTAGACTTCTATAATTATGCTAATCAGAAATAGAAAAAAAAAAAATTTAATATTACTTTAAACAATTTTGTCTAATGTTAACCGAAACAATGTCGTTTTGTGATTAAAAAATTAGAATTATAAAACAAAGTCGTTTCAATGAACATCAAATAAAGTTGTCTAAAGTAACTTTAGAAAAAACGAACCCTAAGAAATAACAATCGAAACACCTTCCCATATTATGCATAAAATAAATAATTTTGAATTAAAATATTATTATTTCTAACTTATTTGATAAATTACAAAATAATTTCTGTCATTTCTTTTATTTTTCATTTTTTGTTACGAGGAGGAGCAAGTCCAGACTACACTAGAATTCCATGAGAGAAGGACACGCCAACAGACCTTGAAATTACAAGTGACCAGTCACTATTACCTTCCCACAAATTATGCATTATTCTAACATCTCCATTTAACGATGGAAGCATATGCATGAGAAGAAATGCAGAGTATGAGTCACACTCTATCCATAATCTAGGCACAATCAATATACATATTCCAACAACAAATATCCAAAAATAATTTCTTACTGCGTCCCAGTAAATGGCTGCAATACTTGCTGAATAATAAGGAAACGTGATAAGCATAACAAATTCCTTTAATTTAGGTTAATATTAAAATAAATTAATGCAACCATGCACCAAGCTTATAGGCAACCATAAATGATTACTTTCAAGAACAAAGCTAAATGTAAATAGAAATAGGATATTATGCCTATTTTTTGTCATGCCTAACTCTTCTTTACCATTATTAGATCAAAATCTCAAGAGGAGAGAAAAGTGATTAATGTCAATTGAGATTGTGATCTAACAGTTTGAGAGAGAAATATGTATATTAAGAATGAAAAAAGGTAACCATAATATCCTATCCCATATAAAAATTACTTTTCATTCTCATCTTCATGACATGAAATTTAGAAGTAACAAATTTGCATATAGCAAAATATAGGGAATTACATTTTAACTAACATTTGCCCATCGGACTATCATAAACACCACAATCAATTGCAAAGGCCACACACATATATAGTGCTCAATATTCAAAACAAGAACTTAGAATACAACAATGTATAACACAAGCATCTGCATTCATTCATGAGCAACAACAAGCACTTGTTTACCAACATTGCGACCACTATAGAGGCCAACCAAAGCTGCAGGGCCATTTTCAAGGCCCTTAGCTATGTCTTCAACATACACAACCTTCTCTTCTCTTATACGAGGCAGAAGGAACTCCAAGAATTTGGGATATAGGTGAAAGAAATCAAAAACATGAAAACCTTGCATAAGAACCCGCTTATATATAAGATTTGTCAAATTTGTTACACCTTCAAATTGAGTAAGATTATCCTGTGACACCATTCCACAGATAGGTATGCGTCCATGGACTCTCATATTCAATAGTACAGCATCAAGTGTCTTGCCCCCAACATTGTCAAAGTAAATGTCAATGCCTTCTGGAAAGTACCTGTTTTGTAAATTGATATCCATTAATCACTAGTTCGTATCGGGTTATTAGGTGCTTAAACTTCACTCTTTTTTTCTTTCTCTTTCTTTTTTATTTTTTTTGGCAAAAAGGACAACCCTCGATTCACAAACCTCCTCGACCCGTGAGGGTCAATTGTATACATGCTTACCTTTGCATTTTTACAAAAATACTATTTTCCAAATTCGAACTCATGACCTTCTGGTCACATAGCAAAAAGCTGCTCCAATGTTCGCCCTCTATCACAAATTAAATTAAAATTTCTCTATCATAAAACTGTTAATTTACTGACCTTTTCAAAGCTGCATTGAGGTCTGGCTCTTCTTTGTAGTCAAAAGCTTCATCAAATCCTAATTTGTTCTTCAACAGATCCACCTGGTTGCAAAAGACACACATTCAAGTGAAACGAAGACTAGAGTATTTTTGCTGGTTAGAAAATATAAACTGAATGGATTTCAGGCCTTGTTAATCATACTTCATAACAACAATACGTTCCCAATACAAAATTTATGAGACTGAGAAACACAAAGTACTATTGCTGGTTTGAGCCACAAAACTCTACCTGAATTTCTTGCTCTACCTGAATTTCTTGCTCCTTGGGTGGTGGTGGTGGGAGTTGGATACTTAATGGGGGTACTTTGCAAACAAACATGAACATAGAACCACAAAGTAATACGTGTTTTTGAATTATAAAAAACATCAGAGTGCAATATTTTGTAATTTGACACAAGATAATATGTTCCTTTCACTAACAAAAACTTCATGTATTTTAATTCCGCCTACAATCTTGGAAAAAGCAAAAAGTATGCAAAATGTCTCAAAGGGGGTTTCTAATTTTAAGAAAAAAATTCCAAAGCTTGGAATTGTAAGAAAACATTTCTGTACATAATTAGGCTTATTCAAACCCCACTAGTGCGAAAAAGTTTTGGTTGTTATTGTTGTAATTAGGCTAATCCAAGATAGTAGTACTTTGAACAGTAGAATAAATAACGAAACATTGAAGCAGATTTATCGTTTATGCAGGCACATATAGCAACAAAATTAGACAAATACCATCTCTTTACTTCTGGCACTTCCAACAACATAACAACCAGTCAATTTAGCGAATTGACCAACAAGTTGACCAACAGCACCAGAGGCAGCTGAAACAAAAACATTCTCTCCTTTCTTGGGAGATCCTACTTCAAAGAATCCAGCATAAGCTGTCATGCCTGGCATACCTGTGATCATAGAAGAGAACAATAACTTTGGTCAAAAGGCACAACAAAATGACATATAATTCTGCAACTAACATCCATAAGCTTGTTTGATTGCATTAGATTGATTCTGAAGAAGCAGAATGTACACTACAAAAGAAAACATAAAATAGTAAAATTTATTTACTATAAACTGGGATCAAGTGAATCCTTCACTAAGAATTGATAAAAATTTAAATTGTTGAATACATACCAAGAATTCCAGTATAGTAGGAAAGTGGGACATCAGTGTGCTCAATTTTGAAAAGTATTTGAGTTGAGGGGACCAAGCTATACTCTTCCCATTTAGTAGAACCCCATACTAAATCACCTTTCTTATAATCAGGGTGTCCAGATTCTAGGACTTTAGCCACCCCAAGTCCTGCTAATGGCTGCAATTACTCAACAGTTAGTAGCTACATTTATCTGTGATTACTACGTATTCTCAATACTGTAGATTCCTTGACTAATTGCAAATTTGATTAAACTACTACCCCTTTATACCAAGGTATTCTCATTTCTTAACCGTTTACTCAAAAAAAAAAAAAAAAAATTGCAAATATTGATTCATTTTTATCCCGTTTGCACATGACTTTTCCTTCTGAAATTAAACCTTGGAAATTTGAAATGTTAAAAATCAATTTCAAAATTCAATTTTCTCAATACCCTATACCCAATTAGCTTGAATGACGGCAAATTTTAAACCAAAAATTACCCAATCAACTTCCTAACATGCAGCAATTCAAGCCAACATAATAATAATAATAATAACAATAATAATAAAGGTTAGTCATGAAAGAAAGAGCATGACTTACAGAGCCAGGGGTGTAAGCATGAAGACCCCCATGACCTTCCTTGGTCATGAGGATTCTCATGTAAGGGTCACATGACAAGTAAAGATTCTTGAGCAGCACTTCATTGGAACCTTCTGGAACCTTCAAAATTATGGTACTTTCAACAATGTTCATGTCTGTTTCCTGAGGAAAACCTGTAACATAGTCAACTAGAATCACTTGTTTGTTCCTCACTTGTGCCATCTTACACTTTAGGGTGGCTAAAGTCCTAGAATCTGGAAACCCTTCAATTTTGACTGGTTGAGTGAGATCACGCACATTATTAATGAGTGAAGCTTGTGGAATTGTTTGGGTAATTAGTTCATCTTCACCTCTTTTTCTTTTTCTTTCCAACTGTTGTTGTAGAAATTCAGCAACCATAGCATCAAATCTTTTAATCTCAAAAATAGAATCTCTTGCTTCAGAAATAGCCATAGTGCACTTCGAATGAATCGACCACAAAGACAATGCACTAATTCCATTAGGATTTGTTTCATCGTGAACGGGTACAAGATTTTCAGCCTTATAGATTGCATTCATGGTCCATCTAGACAAGATGTATTTTTCAGGAAGGGTCATTATTTGTTTCTTCTTCATAATGTATAGAATATGTTTACACAAAATCCCCATAGTCTCAAACTTTGCACACGAACATTGAGCTGTGAAGCTTTCTGTCAAATGGTACTCTACAATTGCCCACCATTCTTTATCAACTTTAGGAGACCCCACCCGATATGTGATAAGGTTTTCCTTTGTTGCAATCTTTTCATGAAAAAAATCAAGTATGGCAGCCTTCCACTCCTTTTTGAAAATTTCAAATAATTTTCTTGTATACCGTTCTCCAGCTATTGCTTCAATAGGATGATTAGTCTCCAAAACTGCTTTTGTATTTCTAGTTTTGAAATCCTCATCTTCTTCCGCATCCCTCCTAGATTTGATTGCTTTGTCATACTGGATAACAAAATCATTTAACATTGTGTTAGAGTTGACATATCCATCAAAAAATGCATTGATGCTCTCACTTCGGCCACTTGTGGTCATTCCGGCAAAAAATGTATCTTTCAAGTATGCCTTTGCCCAATGATGACGTGAAGAATACATGTTAGCTAGCCAACTATCTGCTTTAATAACATATTTAGTCCTCAATACTTCCCATTTGCCTTCAAACTCGTCAATGTTTCGACTTTTATACCACACACGGAAGTCAACATCAAAGCTATCTTTAAATTGTGCGCGTAGAGCTTGACTGTGCTCCATAACATGTTTCTTTATATGCCAAGCGCAAAAACGATGTCGTGCTCTTGGAAATACCTTGGCAATTGCTTTTCCCATAGCTTTATCTTGATCAGTGATAATAGCAACAGGAGACTTGTCAAACATACATGTCCGAAATTGTTCAAACAACCATGTAAATGTTGCCTCCGTTTCATCTTCTAACAAAGCGGCAGCAAATAAGATGGTCTGCCCATGGTGATTAACCCCCACAAAAGGAGCAAAAGGAAACTTGAACTTGTTTGTTTTGTAAGTCACATCAAAGACAAGGACTTCACCAAAATGAGCATATGCAGCTCTTGACCTACCATCTGCCCAAAATATGCTTCTTAATGTTCCATCTTCTGCCAAATGCATATCAAAATAAAAAGCTCCATCAACCATGGACATCCTTTGAAAGTGTTTGATGATACACTGACATTCTCGCCCCACATTATTCTTTCGCTGGCTAGATATAATACTGTTGATTTGAACGGGAGTAAGATTAACCTCTTTGTTCATAGCGCTCACAACCTTTGAGATTGTTGAAGATGTTAAACCCTCTTGAAAAAGCTTAGAAACAACAGATTTAGTTGAATCCGAGCATCTCAATTCATTCTCAGAAAGAAACTTCTTCACCTTTGTTGGAGTGTTAATCAATGGATGATTGTGTGTATCATTGAATTTCTCCACTTTCCATAGGCCATCCACCAACTTTATTTGTAACATTGCTAAACAATTAGTCCTTGTATCCGTTCGCCTTTTGACTTTGTCAACATTAATTCTTTTATCACATAGTCTCTTGACACCTTGATTCGAGCACACATAATTCCACCTATATGGTTGTTTTGTAATTGTACTCTTGTTATGGTATTGCTTACGTATTCTGAACCCCTTAACTTTTGCATAAGCATCATAAAAAGCATAAGCTTCTTCTGACGTCCCAAAAACTCTAGTTAAAATAAGGGTCTCGCTTAATTCAATATCAACATGTCCCACAATTTCATGTGCATGATCTTCCTCGCATTCACCATCTTTGTTTGCCATGATTTCACTATGATCGTCTTCTCTAAATCCATCTGTGACTTTTTCCAAATCAACAATATCATCTACACATACAAAACTTCCACTGATGTCAATGTCTTCAATAGTTACAACTTGAGAGTGATCCATCGTGAAGAAAAAATTTAAATCTGCAAAATATTATAATTCAAGTGTTACCTTGAATTTTGATGCATGAAAAATCATAAATTTTATACCATTCTAAAAAGACCACTTGGTTTACCACCATCCTTGTAAGTTAGCAATCATGACAGGGATGTAATGCACGCATACAATTTCAATGAAGCAGTAATATTTTCCCTTTTATTCAATAGGGCATAGGTTCAAATAAAAGAAAAACAAAGAGACGTTGTGATTTGATTATATACCACGTCAACTTTCTAGCAAATTTCAAGCATCTTCAACAATTTATTTTAAATTGAAGAAAAAAAAAAGGTAAGGAATTTTCGATTTATTGTTACCAATACGGCAGACTCCTTTTCAATGTTCGGGAGAAGTTCATTTGCTTCTTCATCCGATTCAACTTTCATAGGTGGGCCCCCCAAAAACTCATATGATTATATTCCATCAATTAATTCATAGCCAGCTTCTGAAACAACAAATAAAAGCATTCAACAAATACAATACTTGTCACAATATCAAGAATCCATTCAAAAGAAGTAGCACTTGTTAAAATCAAAATATCAATATGTAAAATTTACAAGAGAACATTCGTCAAGCAAGGAGGTGCAAGAAAAAGGATGAACAGCATAAGAAGAATCGGAGAGAGGATATTGTACTGTACCTGAAATTCCTTGTTGTCAACCTTCTTCCTCTTTCTTAGTTACATTGGGATTTCCTGGTTGTGGAGATGAAGAATCACACCTAACCTTGTCTTTAACTGAGACTGAATGGAATCCCGCAAATGTCACATCACATGCATTGGGCGTCGTGGTGGTGGCGCTGCACGGTGGTTATGGGCCGCGGTGGTGGTAGAGCGCGACGATGGTGGAGCGAAACGGTGGTGATTGTGGCAAGTTGATCTTCCCGTAGGAAAAAGAATAAAAGGGGTTTAAAGGAAATGTTAAAACGACGACGTTGTCTTGGAGAAATATAAAACCCAAACTCCCAAATTTTTTTTTTTTTTTTTTATTGTAAACATTGTTTGTTCTTTCAAATAATATAAGATTGTATCATTTTGATTAAAATTACTATTTTAATAATTAGAAAAAACAAGAAATCATGATATAAGATTGTATCAAAAAATTAAAAATTAAAATATTTACTTATTATTTAATATATACACTTATTACATCAAGAACAGATACCTAATTTAATAGTATTACACATTCGTACAATTATTAAAATTAGTAGTTTCTATTTTATCTTACAATTACTGAAATTATTGCTTCATTATTTTAAAATTTGTAAATCACTTTTCATCACTTATTTTGGTTAAATTATAAATAGTTTTGAAAACAAATCATGTCAAAATACCAGATCGAATAATCTTTTATAGGCCATTATGAATTACAGGCCAACATGGTTCTATTCTTCAGGCCTTTTTTTTTTTTTTTTGGTTTAACTCAGGATTATTGATTAGTCATTTGGCTAAATTTTGTAGGTTGTGTATTGTTTGACAAGTCATTTGAATGGATAATGAGTACTGATTGCATATTGCCTATATTTTGTATTACAATCTAATGTGTATTTGCTTATTTCACTATGAGCAAATAAAATAGTTTTTTTTGCAGTGGTATTTTTAATCTACACTTCAAGAATTGCAAATTGATAAGTTTTGTTTCTTATCATTTGTTTAATACATTGCATAGTTGAGAATAGAATTTCAATCTCATATGATTTAAGACCTGAAGATGACAGAAAATAATTTGGCAAGCAGTGGCGGAGCCACTCCTATGCCAGTTGGCACCTGCTTGGTTTTAAATTCTTTTACTTATTACATATAAATATATAATTATGATTACTAAAAATTAAATTTATAATTTGACACCACCTAAATAAATATAATTATATTTATGTTTTTCAATTAAAAAAATAAAACCCAGTACCCAAACCTTTTTACCTAACCTATAAATTAAAATCACTTTCAAAGCTCTAATTTGTGAATTACAATTGCAATCAGATTTCTTTAAAGCTTGTGCCTTGCTCCTTTTTTTGTGTAACTTGTTGCAGAACTTGCTTGCTCCCGCAAGGCTTCAACTAAAATAGTAATGGCTATGGTTGGCTACTTGGCTTGGGGCTTGGGCGCTTACCTTGCAATTTGTATATCTATTAAAAATGTGTTTCGTGTTTTGTGCTTTTAAGAACATGATTGTGTTTTTTCTTTTTACCGAAAATGTTAGTGCATTTTTATATGTTTGTTTTGATATATAATCATTGACAATTATTCATTTGAATTTTCAATGTTATGTGACATTATTTAATACATAATTTAAATAACAGAAAAATATTTCTGCAGTTACTGCATATAACTTATCAGCATTTATTCCAAAACGACGTCGTTTTGGGATTGAAAGATTAAAAATTATAATTATAAAGATTATAATAACCTTGAAATAAATTAAAATTACAAAAATAACATGCTTTTTGCCTCAAAACAACGTCGTATTGGACTTGTTGTAGATAACTTATTTGCAGTAACTGCATAAGAAGCGAACCCTTTAAATAATTATGTTAGAATTCATAATTTTTTTTTCCTAATTAATTTATGTAATTATGATAAATATTTTGATAATTTGATATGTTAAAATTTTTTGGCACCACCTAAACTTTTCGTCTGACTCCCCCACTGTTGGCAAGTTTAAAAATTCAACACTAAGCATAGTTGCATGTATGCTCTGTTTTATATATAACTTATATTATGCTTCGAAGTTACTGCATGCAAGGCAATATGCAAGTGTTACTGATTATTGCTGCAAAAGGAGGCTACTGCCAATTGCAATTGCTTTTGTCTACACTTCATGTCGTATGGCTGTTGTCTTAAAAACCAACAAGGACCAATTTTATCATGTAGTTATGTGATAATTGTTAATGAACTACCTCAACAATCCATAGAGTTGGAGTCAAAAAAATTAAGCCATGTAAATCAACCTTCTCATTCATTCAAAATAGTACTCATTACAATTCATTCCAGCAAAAATACACAGGGTACACTTGCTTTCTATATTCCCCTACTTCCAACATAAATACATATCGTGACCAGACCAACAATGGTAGCAACTAAGACACTAGCTGACCTACCAACATGCCTAATTTTCTTTTCCATCCTATCTAACTCTAAAACCATCTTCAGTTATATCTTCTTCATCTTTCTTTTCTGCTCATTAATCTTTAGTTCTTGCTCATTCAACTTAACTTGCAATTTGTCACTCAGCTTCATGTCCAGATACTTCAACTTGAATTCCATTTCAGCTACATCCAATTCCACCTTGTTTATTCTTTCTTCTTCCACCTCCATCCTTTCGCTGCATACAACATCTACCCATCTAAAAAAATTACAATATGACTTTTTCTCTTGCCAGCAAAATAAACCAAGGTGCGCATAAGTTGAACTTAAATCAAAATAAATTACAAAGAAATACCTTGAAATTGGGGCACTCAAAGAATGCTCTGTTTGGATTTCTGTCAGTCTTGGAGGTATACACAATAGTTTGCCTCCCACATTTACACCTTCGACCAGCAGTCCTTGTAAAGTTTCTACCTCCAATTGAAGACCTTCCACTTGAGTCCCCTTTGCCAGAAGAAACACTTATCTTCTCCTACTACATTGCGGGTAAAATTTCAGTTCTACTGTTATATTTTGCAGACTTGAACGTGAAATTGATTTGGGGAAATTTTACCCCTACACTGAGTTAGGGTTCTATATTTACCCTTCTTGCAACGTTAGGTCTACGACCAACCTTCATAGACATTGAAGACATATTCAAAATGGCGTCGTCCTTTGTCCAGCGTGGATTGTCACATTGTGACTCAGCAAACTATGTTCCAAGTGTGCATCGTTACATTGGCCGTTGGATGCCAACTAACAGAAGGACTAATATAGCTTCTTTTTTTAAATTACAGGTACCACGAGTGACCTTTTTTTTTGCAAGGGACCAAATAGGGTACCGTGAAATTTATTAAGGACCAAAAAGAGTATTTACTCTAATAACAATCCAAACACCTTCTCATATGTATTATGTCTAAAATAATTTTAAGTTAAAATTTAACAACTTATAATTTATTTGATGAATTATTACAAAATAATTTCTTTCTCAATTTATTTTTCATGATTTGTAATAAGGAGGGGCAAGGCCCAAACTAAATTAGAAATACATGAGAAGAGGACAAGCCAACAGATCTTGAAATAACAATTGACATGATTAATACGAATGTTCAACCCACAAGATTACTGTGCACTAACAAGCCTCAAGGTTAAAGAAAATGAGATGTGAGCATAATGTCTGTTTTAAGTACCTTAACCTGAAAATATTTTCAATGTTTCACATGTACCAAATATTCGGTATATTATTTATTAAATATAAAAAAATAACACATTTACACTATTTATATCTGTGTATTTATTTTCTTCCATATTCTTTTTTTTCCTTTTTGATAAGAGAGAATTACCGATGTATTGAAAATATGCTCGGCTTAATCCTGCATTACTTGAAGATATGAGAATTTGAGTGGAAATCAAATTTGTTATGGATAAAATAATAGACAATATCCCTTAGCATGTGAACTGGGCACTTATCTTGGATTGGAAGTTGTGGGACCATCGAATTATGAGTTATTCTAACATCTCTGTCTACCTACACATGTACTCAATAAATATAACAAGAGAAGCACACTGATAAGAAGAAATGCAGACGATGAGTCACCCACTATCCATAATCTAGTCACAATCAACATACACATTCCAGCAAAAAGTATTTTCCAAAACTAATTTTTGACTGCATCCCAGTAAATAGCTGCAATACTTGCTGGATATTTGGAAAGTGATCCGTGTAACAAGTTCCTTTAATTTAGTCTACTGTTAAAATAAGTTAATGCAACCATGCACGAAGCTTATAAGTAACCATAGATGATTAATTTCAAGAACAAAGCTAAATATAAAAATTACTTTTCATTCTCATCTTCATGACATGAAATTTAGAAGTAACAAATTTGCATATACTAGTCCTTACAACAAAATATAGGGAATTACAATTTAACTAACATTTGCCCATAAGATTATCATAAACACCACAATCGGTTGCAAAGGGCACACACATAGTGCTCATTATTCAACACAAGAACTTAGAATACAACAATGTATAACAAAAGCATGCATATGTATCATTCACGAGCAACAAGAAGCACTTGTTTACCAACATTGCGACCACTATAGAGTCCAACCAAAGCTGCAGGGCCTTTCTCAAAGCCATCAGCTATGTCTTCAACGTACACAACCTTTCCTTCTCTGATATGAGGCAGAAGAAACTCCAAGAATTTGGGATATAGGTGAAAGAAATCAAAAACATTAAAGCCTTGCATACGAATCCGCTTGTATATAAGATTTGTCAAATTTGTTACACCTTCAGGTTGAGTGAGATTATACTGTGAAACCATTCCACAGACGGGTATGCGGCCATGGACTCTCATATTCAGAAGTACAGCATCAAGAGTTTTGCCCCCAACATTCTCAAAGTAAATGTCAATGCCTTCTGGAAAGTATCTGATTTGTAAATTGTTATCCACCAGTCACTAGGGAGTATTGTGTTATAATTGCAGTAGCTTAAGCAACAAACAAATTAAACTAAAATTTCTCTATCACAAAACTGTTAAATGCTGACCTTTTCAAAGTTGCATCAAGGTCTGGCTCTTCTTTGTAGTTAAAAGCTTCATCAAATCCTAATTTATTCTTCAATAGATCCACCTGTTTGTATAACACAAATTCAAGTTGAAGGAGGACTAAGTAATTTTGTTGGTGAGCAGATATAAACTGAATGGATTAATCTGACTTCTTTACAACAATGCGTTCCCATTCCAAAATTTATGATATTGGGAAACACAAGTACCATTGCTGGTTTATGACAATTCTTCAAAATTTCAAAGGATTTATTTATTTTTTCTTTTTGGGATGAGCGCAAAGCTTTGGAGCAGCCATAAGGTTACTTTTTGTAACCAGAAGGTTCCAGGTTCGAATATGAGAAATAATCTCTTTGCAAAAATATAAAGATAAGGCTACATACAATCAACAGTCAACTCTACACTCGCAAGTTAGGGAGCCTTGTGCACTCGGATTTGCACTTTGCCCTTTTTATTTGTTGGGGGTAAAGTGGGAGGGGACAGGGGATAGATACATAAAGAGCAAAACCCAATGCACAATGGCTCCCTAACTTTGTAACATTAAGGGTGAGGGTCAATTATATATAGTCTCATCCTAGCATTTTTGTAAAGAGGTTATTTTCTAAACTCAAACCAGTGATTTTCCAGTCACAAACAATCTCAAGACTTGCCCTGCGGGGTTGGATACACAATAGGATAAATCTTAAACTATCTTGAGAATCAAACAACGTATCAATACAATGTTTTTGAAGTATAGAAAACATTTCAGAGTGCAACTTTTCATGTTTGACATATAACCTTAAACTCTTTCTCGATTAAAAATACTTCATGTATTTTAATTCAACATCTTGGAAAATCCCAAAAGTATGCAACATGTCTCAAAGTTCTCAATCACGAGATTCATAATCTGTAGAGAATGTTGTCTAAGCTTGGAAATTGGTAGAACTATTTCTGTAATATAATTAGGCTAATTCAAAATAGTAATACATTGAATGGCAGGATAAATAACAAATAGTTGATGTTAATTTATCATCTATGCAAACTTATATGACAAAAAATAATTAGACAAATACCTTCTCTTTACTTCCAGCACTTCCAACAACATAACAACCAGTCAATTTAGCGAATTGACCAACAAGTTGACCAACAGCACCAGAGGCAGCTGAAACAAAAACATTCTCTCCTTTCTTGGGAGAGCCTAATTCAAAGAATCCAGCATAAGCAGTCAAACCTGGCATACCTATCCTCAAAGAAAAAAATAATAATAACTTGGTTCAAAAGGCACAATAAAATGACAGAAAACTATACAACTAACATCCATAAGGTTGCTTAGATTGATTCCGAAGAAGCAGAATATATACTAAGAAAATGAAACATAAAATAGTACAATATATTTATTATCAACTGAGAGGAGATTAGCTCATAACAGATACACGTACAAAAGCAGTGAGCAACTGGTTCCAAATGAGGTCATTTAATATTGGTTCTCCTCCAAACCAAAGCTGGTCAGCCAAATATTTTAATGAATAAAGGATGAATTCCAAACCTTCATTGTACAAAAAATGGAAAACGCGTATAGCAACAAACAGCCAGATAATTACCTCCTACATAATAGGTCTCTTCGGTGATGATCAACAATTATCTTAATGATACTAGACAAAGAAAGGAGCTATTTATCACATGAAAACTTCATCAGTTGAGGCTTTCAGATCGCATTGACATCAAGTGCATCCATCACTAAGAATCAATATAAATCGAAATTGTTGAATACATACCAAGAATTCCAGTATAGTAGGAAAGTGGGACATCAGTGTGCTCAATTTTGGAAAGTATTTGAGTTGAGGGGACCAAGCTATACTCTTCCCACTTAGTCAAACCCCATATTAAATCACCTTTCTTATAATCTGTGTGTCCAGATTCCAGGACTCTAGCCACGCCAAATCCTGTTAATGGCTGCAATCCCTCAATTGTTAGAAGGTGCATATATTTATGACTGAAATGTATTTTCAAAACTAAATTGTTAGAAAAAGTGTATCTCATTAAAATATTTACACCAACAATTGAAGCTTCACAACACATCAACCCTGTTGAACCATGGCATTCATTCTTATTTTTGAACTTTTTCCTCAAAAAATAAAAGTGAAAAAAAAGTTGACCTTTTTCTTTTAAAACTAAGCCTTTGAAATTTGAATATTATATTAACTTTCTATGTTCAAGTTTCTCAATACCCCTATCCACAAAGTACAACAGTCATGCAAAAATACTAATGCTATGTTTGGGAGTTTTGAAAGAGACATAGCGTGTTGGTTCATAATGTAGTGGAAATGAAAGAATATATATCACTCTATTGGTTGGAAGTTTTGTAGGGCAGGTCCTCTCCATTGTTTAGAAGTTGAACTATTTAGAGTATCAGAGAACCACGTATATATCATGGTACTACCTCTCAAATATAATCAAAAGGGTATCCAATATAGAGAGGGAGAGAGAGCATAACTTACAGAGCCAGGGACATAGGAAGGAAGTCCCAAAAGGGATTCCACATTGGTCATGAGCATTCGCATGTAAGGGTCACATGACAAGTAGAGATTCTTGAGCAGCACCTCATTGGAACCTTCTGGAAGCTTCAAACTTAAGGTACTTTCAACAATGCTCATGTCTGTTTCCTTAGGAAAACCAGACACATAGTCTCTTAGAATCACTTGCTTGTTCCTCACTTGTGCCATCTTACACTTTTGGTTGTGTCTCAGTTCAGACTTGGTAGGAGTTAATTTTTGAGGAGCTTAAATGGGAAAATCAAACGGCCAAAAGTGGATGTCCTTATTATTTTCTTTTTCAAATTACAAAAATAAAAAATAAAGTAATATTTTTATAATTATTGATAAAATAAATCGTTGCTTGAGTTAATTCGTTAGCAGTAGTTTATGAAGTATTTCAAAAATTCTATATTGTGTTGGTGCAAAGAGTGTCACGAGCTAATGGTCATTGCGTCATTAGCACCACAATGTTTCTTTCTTTAGCTGTTTTTGTCATTTTGTTTAGGTTTAGGATTTTTTTATTATTTTGGTTTAAGACTTGGGTTGTGTGTCAGTGTCAGTTTGAGATTTGGAGGAAGCCATGAGGTAACGTGTTGTGAAATATTACCTCTCGGAGCACCGCTAACTCAATAGCACACATAATCAAAATCGGGAATTGACTGTGACGTACGGAAAAGGCGAAAATAGAGGAAAATAATCTTTTAATCTAAGCGTTATTTTTTTAATGAAAAAAACTTTAATTTTTTTTAGTATTTCTACTAACCGGTTCATTCTTTAGGACTAATTTGGTCAGGAGCGAGCTGAGAGCAACAAGGGTATTTCCCCTCCCAACAAATGCGCGAGTGTAGAACTTGAGTTTTCCACCTTACGGGGACCAAGCATGCTTCCACTTGACCAACACCTTATTAGTTAATGCAAAGAACTTGTTAGCACAGAAATTTTTACCGAATACAGTACATCCCTCGTATTTAAAAAATTTCCCACGGGTTGGGTCTCTGTTCCATTTAGTTCAGATCAGAAACAGGCGCAACGAATTTTTGGTTATTATTGTTTTTTTTAATTTATATTTATAAATTTTTTATTTATATACTCTTATAAATTATACGTTATATATTATAGGTAGAGATATAAATAAATTAAGTTAGGCTAGACTTTAATTTAAATATGCTAGATTTATGTGAAAAATCTTAGATATGACCTAACTTGTTAGTCGATGTAGATTCAAATTATAAGTCTGGCCTGATCTATATTTAAAAAATAAAAACTTTGAATTAAGTCTATTAATCTGTTTAAGTCTATTAAACATTTTATAATTAAAAAATAACTAAAATAATATTATTGTATTATTTAAAATTATTAAAAGTTATGGAACCTTATGGAACCTTCAAAGTTATGGTACTTTCAACAACGCTCGTGTCTGTTTCCTTAGGAGGACCATAAACATAGTCCCTTAGAATCACTTGCTTGTTCCTCACTTGTGCCATCTTTCACTTTGGTTGAGTCTCAGTTACACAGTTATACTTCTACCTCATTGTATTGTGTTTTAATCCATTTTTATAGATACCAAAGAAATGGCAAGGGTTAAAATTGGAAAATTATTATTTTGTAAATTCTTAAAAAAAATCATTGATTACATCATTAGCAAGGTCGTATGTTTTATTTTGTAATTTTCTGTTGTATCTTGCAACACTGCCATCTTTTGAGACGGACACAACAAAGTATAGTGCTATCAGAAATTCTGATTTGCAGTTCCCAACTTCCAATCATAACAACCTCATAATTTGCTTTAACGCTAATGCCCTGCTTCCAAAATGACTGAAGATTCTGGCCCTAGTTCAGAACACCAAGAAGGGGATCCTACCCAAAAAAGTATTGATCAATGTACACTCAAAGGGAAGAAAAGAGTGGTTTCATATAAGGATGTGGTGTTGCAGCTGAATGGAGAGGAGGACGAGGACCGCAGTGATGACGAGGACTGGATAACTATCCAAAAAAAGGAGGAAGAGGAAGATGGAAAGATGATGGTAGAAGAGGAAGCGAAGCAGGGAGACCCTCTGTGTCCTGTCTATAAGGTTTGTCCTATACAGTATAAGGAGGATTGTAAGAAGTGGAGGAATGCATTAATCATCAAACTATTAGGGAAGAGGATTAATAACAGGTTCCTAATGGCTAGATTGCTGAAACAATGGTGCCTTCAAGGAAGGTTTGAGATTATTGACCTCGAAAATGGGTATATCCTTATTAATCTCCACAGTGAGAAAGAATATTTCCATGTTCTTCATGAAGGACCTTGGGTTTTTGTTGAGCACTATGTAACGGTGCAGAGGTGGAGACCGATGTTCGACCCTTATGATGAGAATATTAAAAGAATGGCAGTCTGGCTGAGGATTCCAGGACTTCCAATAGAGTTTTACTCAATGCAGAATCTATGGAAGATTGGCAACTTATTTGGAAAAACTCTGAAGATAGATAGAAACTCTCTGAAGAAGACAGACGCAGGAGAGGGGGAATATACGGAGAAAGGCAAATATGCCAGAATTTGTGTTGAGGTAGACCTGAGGAGAAGTTTTTTTATCCAAATTTGAGGTCCTCGGAAAGACTTTTCCGGTGGCATATGAGGGACTCCATCTTATCTGCTTTAAATGTGGGAGATTTGGACACCGACAGGAGACGTGCAGTGGTGGAATGGATAGCTCGTTGTCAACTAGGAAAATAGAAGATGACTCCAAACAAACGATGCAAAAATAGAAGGTTATCCATGGGTTCGAAAAGGAAAGCTCAGATGCTTTTGGGGCTTGGATGGTGGTCCAACGGAGCGCTAGGGGGAGGAAGTTAAAGGCGGTTCCCCAAGCTCGTCCAGCAGAGTCTACCAGGGCGGCGAAGGTGGTAATCGGAAAAGAGATGGCTGAAAGAGACGAGAAGAGGAAAACAACGGTAGAAAAAAAATAATATTATCCCAATAGTCAACTTAGTTTGTGTCAGGGGGGAAGGCTCGACAGTACCGCAGGCGGCGGAAAGTGAAGCGGGTCAGAAGGAAGCTACATAAGAGATACAAGGAGGGAGTGCTGAGAAGATGGAAAAAGCTGCCAGAGGGGAGCTAATGGATTTGGTTAAAGTGGACACAAGCATAGGTCAAGGCACTAGGGAAATGGGAATGGGCAGCAGGAAAATGCCAGCTAAGAAAGAAAAAGATAGACTCTCCAATGTAAGGAAAGTTCCGGTTGTGTCTAAGCCCATGAAAATGGCCCATAAGAAAAGTAAAGGGCCCACTCCAACTTACTCGAAGCCCAAACTCGAGAAGAAGGAGACGATGGGGGAAAAAAGCAACAGCAAGGAAATGTACTTGATGGAGTCTGATCCGTTGGGGGGAAAAGAAGGAAGAGGCCTGGGGATAGAGGGGTTCAGTCGATCTGCCGGCGAGCGCAAAGGGGGAAGATATGAGGCAAAAGGAGATGGAAATGCTTCAAGTAATGAGATACATGTCGAATGAGAAGGCTTTGGAAGAGGTTATAACTCTATCCCAGAGGATCGAAACTATTAAACCTCAGAAGAATGACAAACATGTCATGCAAGGAGGAAAGGAAAGCCCTAAAAGGGACAAGATAGTAAAGATGAGAGAAGAAAGCTTCGAGCTGCCAGAGAATCAAGATCCCAATCGGAGGGTTTCAGGCGATGAGGGGATCAGTTCCAGGGAGGCTACGGCGAATGGAAAGGACAGTTCCTTGAATGGCTGTCATCAATCAACTAGTTTGTTATGAATTTTCTAGTTTGGAATTGTAGAGGAGCTGTCAAGAAGCGGCTTAAAGGTATTCTTTCATCCTTTGTCACGAAAAATAAAATTGATTTGGTGGTTTTGCTCGAACCTAGGGTTAGTGGAGCTAAGGCTCTGAAGATCATCTGAGTTCTGGGTTTCTCTAATTACTGCATTGAAGAGGCTCGAGGCTTTTCTGGGGGAATCTGGCTTCTCTGGAACACTCCCAATTTCTCTGTTGATCTTGTGAATAAAAGCCATCAGCTGGTTCATGTGAGAATTAAAAGGAACCATAATGATCATTTCATCTTTACGGCTATCTATGCCAGCCCGAATGGTGATAAAAGAAAACTTTTGTGGGAAGAACTTCGAAGTTTTGCTCACCAGAATGCAGAGCCGTGGCTTGTAGCTGGGGATTTTAATGAAATTACTTCTGCCAATGAGAAAAGGGGAGGTGCCCCCATTGATGTGAACAGATGTAAAGAGTTTGGGGTTGTTATTGAGGACTGCAAGCTGCTAGACATGGGTTTCTCTGGTCCAAGATTCACTTGGAAAGGCCCGAAATTCACCCACCTTGATATGATTTTTAAACGTCTGGATCGGGCTTTAGTCAATGCAAGTTGGAGAGCTAAATTTGATGAGGCTAGAGTTAGGGTGCTGCCTAGAATCTATTCGGATCACAATCCCCTTCTAATTGCTCTGGAAGCTGACCCCAGAGGGTGGGAGGAAAGACCTTTTCGACTCTTCCCTACCTGGATGGATCATCCCCATTTCAACCAGCTGATGGTCGAGAACTGGAAGTTGAATGATGACACTAGTGTTAATCTGGAGTGCCTTGTTCCGATTCTGAAGACCTGGAACAACAATACCTTTGGGAATATTTTTAGGAGGAAGAATATTATTCTTAGAAGAATTGAAGGGATTCAGAGGAGGCTGGACTTTGGCCCTAACTACTTCTTGGAGAAAAAAGAGGAGGAGCTCAGGGGTGAGTTGGAGGAGACTTTAGACCAGGAAGAAAAATTGTGGTATCACAAATCCAGAACTGAGTGGATCAGGGATGGGGACCGAAATACCAAGTATTATCATACCTTAGCTATCGCGAAAAGAAGAAGGAATAGAGTGGAAGCTTTGAGAAATGATAATGGGGTTTGGGTTAAACATGAAGCTGAGCTGAAGAGAATGGTTTCTGAGTATTATAATATTTTATTCTCAGAAACAAATTCAAACCGCCGATGGGAGCCTTCTCCTGTTGGGTGGCCGAAGCTGGAGGAGAATGAGAATAGAAAACTTAAATGCCCCATCTCTAGGATGGAGATAAAAAATGCTTTCTTCCAGCTTGGTACTAACAAGTCCCCTGGACCTGATGGGTTCCCAGCTGAATTCTACCAGAGAAATTGGGATTTAATTGCTGGGAACGTGTGTAAAGATGTGGAGGATTTTTTTGAGAACCCTTTGAAGATCAGGTACATCAATGAAACCCTCATTGTGCTCATTCCTAAGATTGATATTCCTGATAATATAGGTCAATTTAGACCTATTGCTTTGTGTAATGTTTTATACAAGGAAGTCACGAGGATTATAGTGAACAGATTGAAACCGGTGATGAACAAGTTGAATTCCCCTTTCCAAACTAGCTTTGTCCCTGGTAGGAACATTCATGATAATGTCATCATAGCTCAGGAGATGAATCATGCTATGAATAGAATGAGAGGTAAAAGATCCTTTATGGCTATTAAAATTGATCTTGTTAAAGCCTATGACCGGTTGAACTGGAATTTTGTGGAGGCTGTGCTTGAGGAAGCTAGTATTCCTAACAATCTGGTGAAGGTGATTAAGGAGCGTATATCCTCCCCATCTTTCAGAATTTTGTGGAATGGTTCTAAAATGGATAGTTTTTCCAATACTCGAGGAATTAGGCAAGGGGACCCAATCTCCCCCTATTTATTTGTTCTGTGTATGGATAAATTATCTCACATGATAGCCGAGGAAGCTAGGAAGAAAAGATGGATAGCTATGAAGGCAGGTAGAAATGGTCCCCTAATATCCCACCTTATGTTTGTTGACGACCTTGTGCTTTTTGGAGAAGCCTCTCTGGAACAAATGAATGTGATGCTGGATTGTCTGCATAGGTTATGTGGTATGTCTGGTCAAGCCGTGAGTATTGAAAAAACCACCATCTCTTTTTCAAGGAATACAAAACCGGAGACCAGGACTGAGATCATTGAAGCCAGTGGTTTTAGAGTTGCTGAATCTATTGGGAAATACCTTGGAGCTCATATTTACCATGGGAGAGGGAGGAAAAGGAACTTTGAGGGTGTTATCAACAGAGTCAGACGTAGATTGGCTGGGTGGAAGTCTCATCTGTTATCCTTTGCTGGAAGGACGACTTTGGCTAAAACAGTCATAAGTGCTATTCCTGTTTACCATATGCAGTACGATCTCATTCCAATATCTATCTGCAATGAGGTGGAGAAACTGCAAAGAGGCTTTATATGGGGAGATACATCGCATTGTAGGAGACCTCATCTTGTTAAATGGGAGAACATCTGCTTCCCGCGGAACAGTGGTGGTTTGGGAGTCACTAACCTCCAGGCTCAGAACAAGACTTTCCTATTCAAGATAGCTTGGAAATTATTGAACAATAAGGAGGATCTCTGGGTTCAGGTTCTGATGGGTAAATATGGCAGGAAAGGTGATCTGAGAAGAGAGATTATGGCTGTTAACTACGACTCATCATTGTGGAAAGGTATAGTTTCCATATGGAAGGAATTCTTAAAAACTTTGCAATGGGATACTAGTGATGGCTTGAGCATTCTGTTTTGGCAAGATAAATGGACCAACTTGGAAAGTACTTTAAGGGAACTCACAACCAGACCCTTATCCAACGAGGAGCTTATGATGACAAACTCTGAGCTGGTTGACTTGTCTTCAGGGAATTGGAATATGGGGATCCTAAGAAGCTTGCTCCAAGAAGATGTCGTGCAACACATTAAATCTTTCCTTCCTCCGGATTTAGAAAGAGGTAAGGATCAATTGATTCAGAAAGATGATATGGGGGTCAGCAAATTGGTTAAAAGTGCTTACCTCAATATCATGGGATTCGACAATCTGAGAGGTGATCCCATTTGGAAAACTATTTGGAGTTGGCAAGGCCCTTTTAGAATGCGAACCTTTATCTGGATTATTTTGCAGGGCAGAATTCTCACCAAAGACTTCATTGCTAATTGGGGCGGTTTGCCTTTTTGTCACACCTGTGTAACTGAAATTGAAGATACCCTCCATGTGTTGAGGGATTGCAAAATTGCTAAGAATATTTGGAGGAACTGGCTGGAAGGAAGCAATTATGGTGACTTTTTTTCTTTAAATGTCCAGGATTGGGTTAGAAAGAACTTGAATGGTGGCTGGAGGCACAATCAGATTTTTGACTGGGCAGATGTGTTTATTACTACTATCTGGCATTTATGGTTGTGGAGGAACAATGAGGTTCATGATCCATCCTTCGCTAGGCCCTACAACCCCATCCAAGTTATTTCCAAGTACATAATGGAGATTAAGTTAGCTAAAAGGAATCAGATTGCTAGATATACTCCTCCTCTTATAGTGGACAGAGAGGTGTGGACTGCCCCTGTGAGAGGTTGGTGGAAGCTCAACATAGATGGTGCTGTGGATAAGAATGTAAACAGAGCAGTTTGTGGGGGACTCATTAGAGATGAGCAGAGTAAGTGGGTGAAGGGTTTCACCTATGGAATAGGGAATTGTAAACCCTTGACAGCAGAATTATGGGCAATCTATATTGGTCTTCAAGTAGCCTGGGAGAGTGGCATTAGGAATCTG